CGAACCAAAAGGCAAGCATAAAATGTCATCATTGTGCAGTGAGACGTAAGATTTGTGCATCTTATTTTATTGGGAAAGTCAGGCGGTAACCCCCCCCGCCATTTCCTCCGGTTTTTGTCTTGATGAGGAGCAAAATGGTTTGTCACTTCTGTGGCATGATAAAATAGATTTTATTCTGGGGATGGGGCGCTATGAAAATTGGAAATATTCGAAGAGGTGGATAAAATCCTCTTGATTATTTTGGAAGATCGGTAGAAATGATGTTTCCTGTGATCTGGGATACTTGAAGAGGTTGTTAAATTTATATTATTTCTTTTGGAAATCCTCAGCTGATGTTCCAGTTTTTAAGAACTCAGGTGAACTCCTATCGGCCTATTAGCCTGCTACCTCTTTTGCGTAAACTACTTGTTGGTTAAACATCTCACATCCCAGATACTTCTTTCAGAAGCAATACGGCTTTCGCTTCTCTTGATCAACTGCTAATGCACTGACGATAATTGACGAAAGGGAATAACAAGCCCTAGATGAGAATGGAGAAGCGCGGTCTGTTGGACATCTCGAAAGCTGTCGGTAAGTTTTGGCCTACAGCTATTCTTCACAAGTTGCAAATTTACGGCGTCTTCGATCAAATGTTTGAACTGATCTAGTCTTTTTTTTATCAAATCGTGAAATGAAAGAGTTGTAGCCTTGTTAGGACTAGAAATAACGACACAAAGAGAGCAATTGAGTTATATATATATATATATATATATATATATATATATATATATATATATATATATATATATAAAAAAGGCTTAAACACTAATATTCCATGGTCATAATTTATGGAATAAATTATGACCATGGATATTCCATGGTCATAATTTATGGAATAAATTATGACCATAGAATATTAGTGTTTAAGCCTTTTTATTATATTCTTACTCTGTCCTAGACATTGAGTTCTACCAGGATTCTTCCTCTTAGAATTTTTTTTTTCTAAAAATATACATGTATGGGTATTTATATATTTTACATATGTATGTATATTTTCCACTAGTATTATATATATATATATATATATATATATATATATATATATATATATATATTTAACAGAAACAGTAATGCAGACGTGTGTTTCCAGTAAGAATGTTCGGTCAGAGCTGACTGTTGGAAACTTCCTCCCCAAAAGGCAGTACCTGCTCCTACTTATAACGGAGAGAGCTCATGTGCGTATGAGAAACTTACCATAACAGAAAGTTATCCTGAAAAGCTACACTTCTATATTCATTTGTACTAATTCAGATGTCCACTAGGGACATATCCTTGTTCTTACTTTTTTTTTTTAATTTTCAATAACGACCTTCCCGATGGCATCAAGTCTCATCTTGCTATGTATGGTGACCCAATTTACTCCTGTCTCGATAGAAAGTCTGATCAATCCGATAAGGTCAAATCGGCAGCTGATGTCGAAAACGACCCTTAGTTTGTTAACTGGCTCAAAGGATGGATTTTTTTTAATTTTAACTCTTCCAAAACTAAACTGCTCTCTATTAATCATATGAGAGAATCCTCTTTGACTTCTTTTTACATGGCTGATTCTAACCTCCAGGAGAATGACTCGTTACACCTTCTGGAGGTAACGTTCTCGGCTGACATGAAGTGGAAAGAATATACTGAATTCATTACTAGGTCAGCTTCTAAGTCGTGCTAGACAATATTTTTTTCTCCAGAATTTTCTTGCATATCTATAAGATGACCATTAATCCATGCTTAGAATATTCTTGTCACATATACCTGGTGCTCTTGTTACATATATAGATATCCTTGATAAAATCCAAAGAAGAATCAGCAATGTTTTTGGCCCTGATCTGGCGTCACGGTTTCAGTCACTTTCACACCGCCATAAAGTTGCCTGCCTGTGTCTTTTCTATAAATATTTTCAATGCAACTGTTCGGATGAGTTCTTCGCTGATTTTTAAAATGTTGTTTCATTTACCTCCCCCCACCTTTAACGCCAATGAATTGTACGTATGGAGGCTAATTAGGATTTTCATAGAGAACAAGGGGTATGATGGTGGATTCAGTAAGAAATGTAAGTATGAATGTGTTGTTTTGGTGTTAGGAATATTGTGGTATGTTTGGGTCAAGTGTTTGTGGCTAGGTAAGGTTAGTTTAAGACAGAAGAAGACTGTCCTTTTCCCCATTCCCCATTTTGGTCCTGTGACATATTTTCTGTAAATAAGTGGAAATAAATATCACTCTTCGTTAGGGTACGTAGACTTTATGAATTTAAGCGCAGTGCTAGAATGTTGACGTGGTCTCACCAATTTACAGTTGAGTTTTCTAGATGTAACCTTAAGTTCTATGCTAACAGTTTCTTTTCTCGCACTTCCCATTTGGGAACTCACTTCCGGTTCAATGCTTTCCAGTAAATTTTAGTCTTCAGTGAATTTAAATGCAATGTCAACCATTGTCTTCCTCATTAATCTTCTTCTGTAATCGCTCCTTACTAACGTTTCTGATGTCTAATTCTTCCAAACTATGTAACCTCTTATGTCGTAGTGATTTTGCTACCTTGCTTGGGGTGAACTCGATTAAAAACAAATCTTGGGTTGATAAGCGGTAATAAAATGACTGAATCAATCAATCTCCTATAGAGGAATGTTTTATGAGGTATGTGATAATAATTTTATTTTATCACATTACTCACAATAATTTTATCACTTACTCTATATTTTGCATTGCTTCAGTTTAGTATAAAAATATAATGGTTCTATGCCTCTGGTTTTATTTAAATCCTAATCAAATGACTTCAATTTTTGTTATTTTTTTATAGGTGCAGTAATGATTAGCGGCTAGGATTAATAAATCGGGGAGCTGAGTTCAAATTTCAGTCGAGTTATTTACATTAATGTTATAAAGGAATGAAATGTCGCTCCCGACACTTGAATCCGAACATAGATAGTCAGTGAGCAAACGCAGGCAATCCCATTATTTAATTAAGTAATCCACGTGATCATAGAGTAAACGCATATTTGGAAGGTAGCGTCTGTCTAATTGATCGTCATTTCTAGTCTATCCTTTATTACTATACGCATCGCTTTTTCTTTTCTATTCTCTATTATTATACGGACAGCTATTCTCTACTTTATTCACTATACGATTTCTCTATTCGTATCATTACACGGATTACTATTCGAGCGACTATTATCGTGCAAGTACTATAAGTGTGTGTGTTATTCGAAGGCGTCTAACATAAGTATTGTTCAACGGCGTGCTATAGTTATATCTGCGATTAAAAAGTCTTTACTACAACGAGAATTACGAAAGTAAGAACGATTATTCATTGACATCACAAAAATTTATTTACATGGTAATAACTCCCTTGCGAATGTATATGAATCCAACTCGTCTACCCCAACTATGGGTAAAATAGCAGATGGTAATGAGTCTATGAGAATGGATATTCTGAATTTAAACCACCAGCTGCCTTGTATGTCTTGCTTCTTTAACTTCTGAGAAGAATAAAAAGGAACTGGTCAGTGTACCATTCTGCCTTGAATGTCGCCAAAACTGCTACATGGCGGTGGGGTGGGGGTGGTGTTAGTGAACAGTGCAGCACAAAATGCGCCGACTGATTAAAATTAATGATTTTCTATTGATGATTTTGTATGTACGTATTTTTTTTATTTCGTATAACATCATTTAATCAATAAAAAAAATTTCAAATTAGATAGAAATTTACATTTATTACAGCTATTTTAATGAGCGGAAGAAGCATTAACGTTAATATTAATTTGGACAAAATAATTTTGTCATGAGATACAATTTTTTGTGTCATGTGTTAACGGATGGCATTCGCAAAAACTACCTTTTGATATCAAATGTTATATCAGCGTTTTTCTTTGTTGTTTTGTTTTGTTTTTTTAAAATGGTCACGATTAGTGAACATTGATTTTTTTTTTACTACAACACGTAAGATAGGAGAATATTTGAAGAAATATCGCCATATTTTTATTTTAAGAAAAATAAAAATGTGATTCAAACTTAAGTTCTAGTACATTATAGAACGCGCAAATCGGTTTGTATAGTTTTGGCCTCAATATGTTCTCTATCGAATTCCTCGAGAACTGGAAGAGGATAATAGTTTAGAATAAAAGGATAATTCTTAAAATTCATCCAAATCAATTCGTTTTCTAAAAAAAAAAATGGAGCAAGCGGAGGTCGTTATTAGAGAAACGGTTGGAAAAGGGGTCATTTTATTTTTTTCTTCGAGTTATATGTATCTGGTTTTATTTAAATCCTATTCAAATGCCTTGAATTTTTGTTATTTTTTATAGGTGCAGTAATGATTAGCGGCTGGGATTGATAAATCGGAGAGCCGAGTTCAAATTTCAGTCGAGTTATTTACATTAATGTTATATAGGAATTAGCGGTATTTAGCCCTCAAAAAGCTATCAAAATTCAAAGACCTTGAAATCGAAATCTCAAAAATGTGGCACATGGGAACATCAACAATCCCCGTTGTAGCTGGAGCCCTCTGGATTTCGATTTCAAGGTCATTGTATTTTGATAGCTTTTTGATGGCTTAATGCCATCCGTTAACATATTTTTTGTTGCTATTGTTCAGAGTCCTTAATTTGCGATGTTTCTTTTATTCAGTACAGTTCTTTGCTTGCAATTCTGTAAGGCTATTAATTGATTTGATTTTTTACGTGTTATCCACCTTTTGCAGGTTATTTAAAGCCAGCACATATTTTGAGATTTTAAGGATTTTCTGGTGATGATAATAATTTATTGATTGATACAAGCCTTACTAATTAACCCATAACTAGTGCGAAGAAATTATTCGTATCTTTTCCAAGGGTATTTTCCAAGGGTATTTTCCAAGGGTATTTTCCAAGGGTATTTGCACGTACGTTACCAGAACGAAACCGACTCGAAATAGAAACACAGCTATCCGATATTTAATTCCAACTCGTTATCCATTACACTACCCGCGCATCTAGGATTGGAGCACCTGGTATTCCCAAACGGTCACGCATCTAGGTACTGATCAGGTTCGACGTTGCTTAACTTCGGTGATCTTATGAATATCGGTGTTTCAACGTGATATGGCCGTAGTTCGTCGTAATTCTCTAACACTAGTTTAAAAGTTTGAATTAGGAGATTTCTCCCTAAGACACACAGGGCTCATTTTAAACCATTGATGGAGAGAATGTTTGTGTAAAGCTTACAGTTTATAGATTTCCACAAGAAATCTCTCGGAGGAAGATAGTAAATCAAAGAATAAATATATTTTCCATGAATAATTATTAATATCCATTAATCCGAACGGATATTTTACTTAACTCAGTACAATGTCCTGTCGACGTTGCAGGGTTACTTTACATCCTTCTATCGTAATATGTACAGGATATTATACTATGACATGAATCCATCACTCCGACAGGGCTTCCTGACAGCATCTTGTCTATGCTAATTAAATGAAACCTACCTTGCACTAATGACCCGTGCAGAGGGAATTACATGTGGTAAGGTCAAGACAACCTGTAATTGCTGCCCGTCTTGTAGCTGAAGACTTAATCTAAAACTTTTCGAAAGTGAATATTCGGAAATAAATATTAAACTTTACAAATGTCCGTTAAATAGATATCTTCCTTTAGGAAATATAACTTAGAAATTTATATATCATATTCTATACTATCAGAAAATTGTTATGCAAATAAATAGGAAAATTGAAAAAAAAAATTCTGTGTAACGCGTTTCATTCTCCAGAAGGATTTCATCAGTCGAATATTATAATATTATATTATTATATATGCGTAAGAAGGAGATGTGTGTGGCCATAAAATTGCAAGCATTGACTAAAATTAGTCGCCAACATGAAACCCTCAAGATGATGGAACGGCGAATTGTTTTAAAAATTATTTTTTAAAAAATCTATCCATAGTAAATCCATTACTTCTTTAGAAAATTACTTTGTTCACGTTTGGACAGGAAATGAAGATATGAAAATTTTGAGGAATTTAGTACGAGAAAGATTTCGCTTAAAGGCCCGATTATAACTTTACTAGATTTTCAAGTTTTCCAAGAGGTGCATATTTTTCTTTATTAAGACTTCTTGAATATTCAGGGCGGTAGACGAAGATAAATAAATATATATAAATTCAAATATGAGTATACAATGAAAATTTTATTCATCAGTTTGACAGATTTTTATCACCTTAAAATTTATCCTTAGTGGATATTCATATTTGAAGAGACGCCCCATTTAATTAATTAATTGTATTTATTTTCGTCTAACGGCATCAATATCCGTGAAATTTTATGAAAGAGAAGAAACGTTTTCCAGCAGGAATCGAACCTGCATCACCCAGGGTATATTATATATATATATATATATATATATATATATATATATATATATATATATATATATATATATATATATATATATATATATATATATATATCGTGTCGATTTCTTTATAAATTAAATATAATATTTTATATATCGGGTGGTTATTGGTCTAGAATGCTGGGCAACGAGACCCGGCTTCGAATCTCGCTGTCATCAATTTATCAAAGAGGGGATTTTTTTTTCCGATCATCTTGAGGAAACGATTTTAGTAAGAGGGCTAAACTAGAACATGCATGGAAACCATACCACAGGTTGGCCCACGTCCTGTCATCGAAATTAGGTTGACACAAATATTCGGAAATCGTCAATGTTTATGACTGCGCGAATTGACGAATCATTGTAAGCAAAAGTTTCTGCTTACTAGCCTTGTACTAGTGATCACTCCATATTATGTGTTTACTCCCATAAAAGTTATTTTTTTTATTATTATTATTTTATTTCCTTTTATTTCTGATGTGTACTCATTTCTTTCCGGATCCCGCCCAGGGACCTAAGGTTAGAAATGGCATCATAACACTTTCGACTGAAAAAAAAATTACATAGACAAAGCCCTTCGTAAGGTGTGGGCTGTACTCGTGAGAACATTTTTTTGTATTTCTTTAAGGCATGGACTTCCAGGAATCCCTTCAATTAGTCTACTGGAATATTTCCCAAACAATCCGAGGGCTCCAATTACAACGGGGATTGTTGATGTTCCCATGTGCCACATTTTTGAGATTTCGATTTCAAGGTCCTTGTATTTTGATAGCTTTTTGAAGACCTTCAAACATACATTGCAGTCTGCAGGGACTGCCATATCAATAAGGAGGCATCGTTTTATGTGAGATCTCTAATAACAATATCTGGGCGGTTAGCTTTGATTGTTCTAAAAAAAAATATGGAACGCTTCACGAATTTGCGTGTCATCCTTGACATGCTAATCTTTGTATCGTCCCGATTTTGTTATTATTATTATTATTATTATTATGCTAATGTTCACATTGGACAAGTCCCAAGGGTTACTGAAGGCGTTTGCAGTGTGAACTGTAAAAATAAATAGCGCAGTTTATGCAGATATATGAGAAAGATAACGCTTAATTCTAGACTTGCAAGGGTAAAGATTATAGCGATCGGCAAATCAAATTTTTATACCACAAATAATCGTTCTTGAGAAGAAGCTGTCCGAGTGAGATTTGCTCTTTACTGAAGAAATACAAAGAGGAAGTGAGTGACTCATCTCTGTGTACGCGGTGTGGCGAGTTTAGTTAAGAGGATTAAAGTTGGGGAACTAAATAACGCAACACGTTGGAAATAGCGCCAAAATAGATATGGGCTTGTAATGTTTCGTCTCTGAGAAAAGTGCTGTATAGGTGGAAAGCATTTCTTCACAGTCAAAGCCGTAGAAACGATTTTACCCGATATCAAGTCGAGAAACATTTGCCTGGATAACACCAGGCCAGATATGGCATCAGTACTAAATTTTCGATCACATCTGGTTGAGTTCTCCACTACTTACTGGACAGATACAGGATACTGACCATTTTTCCAGCATCTTTAAAAAATGGAGCTTTTTTAAAGTAAGTTTAACACTGTATAAATACCTGTTAGACATTTTCATGACGGTCGTCTTCGAGTATAGAATCCAGAGGTTGGCAGTGAATATTTCGGAGACAGTAGTAAAGCGTAGTTCAGTTTCGCAGTGGATATCACAGCAGAGTGTAGTTCTTCCTTCTGTCGTGTTCGCCTGACAAGTTGGCTCTGGTCCTTCCGGTAGGAAAACAAAGATGGCCGCCTTTGTACACGACGGATACAGTGTTCTGCGGCTCCTGATTGGTTAATCTTCTAATGGTAGACTATAAAGGGAAATAAGTCATTCTGACTCGCTCACTAGTCCTATGCATATATACACAAAAAACCCGTAACAAACCCGGGTGTACTCGAGGTAGAGGTTTACAATATGGCGTAGTTTATATAGATAGGAGAAGAAAATAACGGTTTGTTCTAGACTTGAACAGTTTAAGATTGTAGCGATCGGGGAAACATCTTCTTAGGAGTCTGTTCCATAGGGCAGTGATACCCGGTAAGTAGCTGTTTGAGGGGAACTAACTACTCGCCGTTGAAATACGAAGCGAATGTGGATGGTTGGCATGCCGGGTCTTAGCCGTGTAGGTCAGACCTGATGGAACCAGGAGATTAAGTTCGTCCGAGCACTTTCCATGGTAGTATCGATAGATCAGTGAGACACTCACCACATCCCGCCTGTAACAGTGAGATTGAAGCGTGGAAATTAATTCTTTTTACACAAAGATTCTGACATGCTTTTGAACTCTATCAAGACTTGAAGGTGAAACTGGGCAAACCTCACCCAAATATGACAACAGTACTCCATATTCGGTCTGATATGGCTCTTATAAAGTTAGAGGATTCTATGAGGTGCCAGGTACTTTCTGTTGCGTTACAGGAAGTCGGTTATTTTTTATTATTTTTTAGCGATGGATCGTATATAGGAATTCTTCCTGAAGTCGGGTGTGAGTTTGAGTCCAATAACCTTTCGATGCACGGGGCCAACTCATGGGGTCGGCCGTTCATAGTGAAGCAATACTTATATATATATATTTAAATTTATGCTTTGAATGGGTTATTTACTTTTTTTTCTAGATTCGAAAGGACGTGTTGTCTCTCCTTGAATTGGGAAGGCCGTAACTTATATTAATACCGCTTAACAAGTCAAACACACGTGAAGCCAATAAAATAAATCATATTAAAAAATACCAATAAAAATCAAACATATCAAAAATATCAGAATTTCTTTTTTCTTCAAAAAGAAAAAAAAAGAAAAAAAAGGGAAAGATATTAGATTGATAAAAGTTTCCTTTTTGTTTTTAACTTTTCCTAACCTTTTTTTCTGTTTGTTGTTTAACTTTTTCTGTAGGCTTTCGAGCCATACTGGATCGGTATTTTATCCCAATTCACAGAAATACACACGCGTGTATGTATGTATGTATGTATGTATATGATGAAATGGATTACGTCCGACATTTATTTAATATATTTTCTGTTTGTCCGTTATTTTTATAGATAAAATTTATTTAAGTAAATGCTCTATTATTTAATTAAACAGTATTAATTACATTTACCGGCTTGAATGTTCGAAAAATTCCGTAGAAAATATACATTCTCTAAAAGGAATCGAACCTGTATTCCAATACGGAAACCCTCACTTGATCTGATGTGCTATAACATTCAGCTACATAGAAGCGTCTGGCTAGCAAAGTCCAATTTACTGTTTATAAACAATTTTTGACGATTTTCCTCGTTTGATCTTATCTGCTCGCGAAACGTATCTTAACGTAAACAATGATAACATATAATGAAATGGATTAATTGTGATAATTATTTAATATATTCTTTCTTTATACGTTATTTTTATAGATACGGTGTATTCAAGAATAAATTCTCTGTTTTTAATTTATCAGTATAAATTACATTTACCAGCCTGAATGTTAGATAAATCTCGTAGAAAATGTGCGTCATATCACATGACGGCAAAGTTTCATTAAAAACAGATCAACTACTTAAATAGACTCCATTTATTAAAATAACGTATAAACAGAAAATATATTATATGTGGGAATATATATATATATATATATATATATATATATATATATATATATATATATATATATATATTTTCGATTATAGGTGCAGTTAATTTTA